ATAACATTTTATCATGAATCTTGGCCAAAATTTATTCAGTTGTCTTTTTAGTAGTAAAAAAAAAAATAACCCAAATTAGTTTATAACCCAAAAATTATAATTTTTAAACTTTTTTTTCACATTTTTATTTTATTTTTTTCTTTTTTTTTTTTTACATACTGTCACCCTATCAGTACAGTCACCATGGTGACACTGTACTATTTATGGAGGAGGGGTGATGAAGATTTTTTTTTTTTTACACTGATTGCTTTTACACCCATAAAGGCTGTAAAAGCAATCATTTCTCCTTCTCCCTGACTGCATTCTTGCAGCCATTGAGAAATACTGTGTGATCTGTGATTGGTCACGGCTTGTCACATGGTACAAGACTGTTGTGAATAGCCCTGTACCATGTGATCTCTGTGATCATTCACATATTTCACACGTACTATGATGCCAGAAGTGACATCTTGCTTACTACTGTGCATGTGATCACTGATTGGCCAATCAGTGATCACATGATCGGGACCTCGCACAGAGGTCCCGTACGACGATCGGCGTTCCGAGAGGACACAGTGGGCACTGGATCGCGGTGCTGCCAGGGAACGCGCACAGTCCAAAAGGGTCGGCATCGTTTATGAACGGCAACCTGTCTCTGGACTGCCACTGTCTGGCCGTTTATATACAGCAGTCAGACGGCAAGTGGTTAATGAAGATACAGAGGATTCTGACCCAGATTCTCACCCAAACTCTCATTTTGACATTCATTTTCTCCAGTGTCTCTAGAGTATCCTGATTCAAATTATTGCTAGATGAAGTGGATGACCTTCCTAAGGGCCATTTACTCAAGTTGGAATATCTAAGCAGAAAAAGCTGAGCATGATTAGATGTGCGTATATGGGCCTGCAAGAAAAACATTTTTTACATTTCCCCCCTATCTGATATTCATCTGTAAGAATGGAAAGATCTAGCAAAAAGCAGCTGTTTACCTAAAAATCTAAACACAGACTTCCCTTTGAGGATATTGCATTATGATGGAACAAATGCCCAAATGTAGACTCGCCTTATGCAAAATTATCCAAAAATTCCAATCTTTGTTTTGAGAATATGAGAATCCTCAAGGATCTAATGGATCACAAAATGTATACGCTCCTAAAGAGTGGGAATCTTCATTCTTAATTCAAGCCAGCACTAGCCAAAGCATATGTAGCTCGAAATGTGGAACTCCTGGCTACCACAGTATGAATCTCATCTAGATGCTGGCACGCCCAGATAACATTTTGGCCATAATTGTATTGGTGTGTGTTCTACACTTGGACCACATCGTTGGTTGAGCGCACCAGCGCCTCTCCAGAACAAATCTGGTAGACCACGTATTGGTCTGCTTTCATAGGTCCTTATTGCTTGATTTGTTGTCTTCGGTTGGTCAGGCCTTTGGAATCAAAGTCTTCCCAAGTTGCAGTCCCACCCTGATCTGGTAGGTTCTTGTTTATTCTCTCAGTGGCGGTCTTGGAAGCCAACTGGCGAAAACTTGAGTTAGTGTCTGTCTAGAGCAGCAATGGGCAAACTACGGCCCGCCGGACCTTTTAATCTGGCCCGTGGAGCGTGATACTGTCAGGATGGCTGTCAGGATGTGTGTAGGCGGGGCAGCGTGACGAACATGAGGGAGCTAGGCTCCTCTCACAGTCCGCACTGAAGACCGGAACGGCGCGCGGGAAACACGGCGAGAGGAACGCGCGGAGCAAAGGTAAGTGAATTGACACAGGGGGGACTTGGCTTACTACTTGCTACTTACTTACTACTACTATATGAGGGGATGAATTACTATGGGGGATGAATTACTATAGGGGGGATGAATTACTATAGGGGGGATGAATTACTATAGGGGGGATGAATTACTATAGGGGGGATGAATTACTATAGGGGGGATGAATTACTATATGGGGGATGAATTAATATGGGAGATGAATTACTATAGGGGGGATGAATTACTATAGGGGGGATGAATTACTATAGGGGGATGAATTACTATATGGGGGATGAATTACTATATGGGGGATGAATTACTATAGGGGGGATGAATTACTATGGGGGATGAATTACTATATGGGGGATGAATTACTATATGGGGGATGAATTACTATATGGGGGATGAATTACTATATGGGGGATGAATTACTATATGGGGGATGAATTACTATATGGGGGATGAATTACTATATGGGGGTTGAAATTACTATATGGGGGATGAATTACTATGGGGGATGAATTACTATATGGGGGGATGAATTACTAATATGGGGATGAATTACTATAGGGGGGGATGAATTACTATAGGGGGGATGAATTACTATAGGGGGGAATTACTATAGGGGGATGAATTACTATATGGGGGATGAATTACTATATGGGGGATATGAATTACTATAGGGGGGATGAATTACTATGGGGGATGAATTACTATATGAATTTACTATATGGGGGATGAATTACTATAGGGGGGATGAATTACTATATGGGGGGGAATGAATTACTATATGGGGGATGAATTACTATATGGGGGATGAATTACTATAGGGGGGATGAATTACTATATGGGGGGATGAATTACTATAGGGGGGATGAATTTACTATATGGGGGATGAATTACTATATGGGGGATGAATTACTATATGGGGGATGAATTACTATAGGGGGGATGAATTACTATAGGGGGATGAATTACTATAGGGGGATGAATTACTATAGTGGGGTGATGAATTACTATAGGGGGGATGAATTACTATATGGGGGATGAATTACTATGTGGGGGATGAATTACTAATGGGGGATGAATTACTATGGGGGATGAATTACTATTACTATATGGGGGATGAAATTACTATAGGGGGATGAATTACTATATGGGGGATGAATTACTATGGGGGATGAATTACTATATGGGGGATGAATTACTATATAGGGGGGATGAAATTACTATAGGGGGATGAATTACTATAGGGGGGATGAATTACTATAGGGGGGATGAATTACTATAGGGGGGATGAATTACTATGGATGACACATACACATCATTCATCTGCTCTTGGTCCGGCCCCCGGGTCCAATATATGAACCCATTGCGGCCCTCAAGTCAAAAAGTTTGCCCACCCCTGGTTTAGAGTTAGGACTTCAGGAGAGCAATGGTTCCACTCCTATGTTTTGTTTTGTCTTTTATGTATTTAAGTATTTCCTGCGGATTTCTTGTAAAACTGAGGAGCAGTCTTGTGAAATCCTATTTTAGAATGTATCATTTAATGTGCGCCCAGTTCTAATGGGAAGATCCTTGCTCTCTTCGATGCTGTCATTAAAATGGAGTTACCGGTAAAACCAACGTTCATGCTAGGGCTGCTACAGCATGTTTTTCATGCATTTTTTTTGCAGGAAGAGAAGGCTGGAATTTTATACTCTGCCAAAAATATAGTAAAAAAGCGTGTGCATGCAGTTTACATGCGATCCCATTGAAGCCTGTGGAACCAAAAACACACTGCAGCTGCGCCAAACAAACATCTGGATATTTTCAAACAAATTTGCTGCATCAATGTGAGCCGGGCACCATAGAGCCTCATGTATTTTCCGTTGTTGTACAGTGCAGCACGACAGCAAATACAGAAGAAAACGCACTAGTGTCAATGGGGGCTAGCTTTTCTGGCCTGTTCACCTAAATTTGCTGCTGTACAACTTATGGGATCAGAACTGAGCCCCCCCACTACTTTTATTACAACTTTTGGTGTTGTGGCCAGTGACGATTGATTCCTTGTATAACAGGGGTGTCAAACTGGCGGCCCTCCAGCTGTGGCGAAACTACAAGTCCCATCATGCCTCTGCCTTTGGGAGTCATGCTTGTAACTGTCAGTCTTGCAATGCCTCATGGGACTTGTAGTTTAGCAACAGCTTGAGGTCTGCCAGTTTGACACCTGTGTCGTAGAAGATGGATGGGGGCGCTGACATATGTAAGGTTCTCTCTCACCCAGTGTTCTCCCTTCCATCTTCCTCTTTGAATTGGGCAAGGCTTCTCTCTAGTGCGGTTGTTTTCTTTCTCTTGCTGGAGATTTGCTATTTACCGTGAAATGTTTTTCTTCCCAGCATCTTCCCAAGTCTATGGGGAATCTCACAAAGCTGACCAATCTGAATGTGGACCGCAATCGGCTTACCTCTCTACCCAGTGAGATCGGAGGCTGTTCCAGTCTAAACATGCTGTGCCTGCGTGATAACCAGCTGACCTCTCTCCCGCCAGAGCTGGCCAATGCCACGGAACTGCACGTGTTGGATGTGGCGGGGAATAGGTACTGGTATCATTTTTGAATGCATTATATTTTTAAAGAGGGATGTGAAATATTCTCATTATATGTTGTTTGAGGACTTTACACAAAGTCTAAAATTTTTTCAATATAAAAACTATTGTATTTTTCGCTCCATAAGACGCGCCTAGGTTTTAGAGGAGGAAAACAAGAAAAAAATATTCTGACTCAATGGACTGCAGACATAGTACCGGAGACTGCGGACACAGTACAGGGGATGACCAGAGACTGCGGACATAATACAGGAGATGACCAGAGACTGCAGACACAGTACAGGGGATGACCAGAGACTGTGGACACAGTACAGGGGGATGACCAGAGACTGCGGACACAGTACAGGGGATGACCAGAGACTGCGGACACAGTACAGGGGATGACCAGAGACTGTGGACACAGTACAGGAGATGACCAGAGACTGTGGACACAGTACAGGAGATGACCAGAGACTGTGGACACAGTACAGGAGATGACCAGAGACTGCGGACACAGTACAGGAGATGACCAGAGACTGCGGACACAGTACAGGAGATGACCAGAGACTGCGGACACAGTACAGGAGATGGACCAGAGACTGTGGACACAGTACAGGAGATGGACAAGAGACTGCGGACAGAGTACAGGAGATGACCAGAGACTGCGGACACAGTATAGGGGATGACCAGAGACTGCGGACATAGTATAGGGGATGACCAGAGACTGCGGACATAGTACAGGAAATGACCGGAGACTGCAGACATAGTACAGGGGATGACCAGAGACTGCAGACATAGTACAGGAAATGACCAGAGACTGCGGACACAGTACAGGGGATGACCAGAGACTGCGGATATAGTACAGGAGATGACCAGAGACTGCGGACATAGTACAGGGGATGACCAGAGACTGCGGACACAGTACTGGGGATGACCAGAGACTGCGGACACAGTACTGGGGATGACCAGAGACTGCGGACACAGTACAGGGGATGACCAGAGACTGCGGACACAGTACAGGGGATGACCAGAGACTGCGGACACAGTACAGGGGGATGACCAGAGACTGCGGACGCAGTGCAGGGGATGACCAGAGACTGCGGACACAGTGCAGGGGATGACCAGAGACTGCGGACACAGTGCAGGGGGGATGACCAGAGACTGCGGACACAGTGCAGGGGATGACCAGTGACTGCGGACCTTTTGGGGAGCAGAGGGAGGGGAGCGGGTACCTAAATTTGACAGGTACCCGCTCCCACTTCTGCAGAGTTGTCCTCTCTCCCCGTCTTCTGGGACACGTGACAGAAGACCATTCACACAGCGCAGCGCTTCTCGTGCATGCGCAGTGGGCACCCGGCTGTGTAAGCTGCAAACTGTCACAGCTGGGACCCCACACTAAAGATTCTGGTGCCGGGGAGAGAAGACGGTGAGGACAACGTTGGACCGAGGAACAGGTAGGACCAAGGAGCACAGAAGAGCCAAGCGGCTGGCCCGGTATCCTAACATGGCGGCAGCGGGAATTCCGGGCCGGCCGCTCCATAAGACGCACAGACATTTTCTCCCATTTGTTGGGGGGAATAAAGTGCGTCTTATGGAGTGAAAAATACGGTACATTGTTTCCCCCTAGCTGTGTAAACTGAATGATATCTATAAGTAGGTCACTTGTGTTCTGTTTCTGGAGGGCTGAGCCGGCTCTGCCCATATTGCTGACTACGCCCTGTGTATAGGATCTCTGCCCTTTATTTTACAGAGAGCTGCCTGCTTGGTACTTGTAAAAGTCAATGTTGGAGTCCATACATAATCGGCAGAGTTTATTACCCAGTGGGCCACTTGATTGTTAATAGATAAACTTTGCTGGTTGTGCATGGACTCCATTGTTGACTTTTTCGATTACCATGTGGATGGGGCTGACAGGAGACTGACACCTGCTGCATGATGATAGTTGCGGGGGGGGGGGTAGAGCTAAACTGATCTGTTTGGTGAAACTAAAGCCAGCCATAGACGGAGCAATTTTCTTTCCTGCAACCACAGGTTCCCCAATCAACACAATCAGTATTGATGGGGAGAATCCCTTCCGTGGAGCCATTGTGTTCTCCTGGGATCTGGGAGAACACGGTGATTACTGCTAGCGGCTATATTGGTCTATGGCAATAATCGTATGCAAAATCTGACAGGCTGGTTGTGTCCAAGTTGGTCAATCGATCAACTTGTGTACATTCAGCCTGCCCATTCATGTCTGGAATCTCGGCTGGTCCCTGCTGAACTGACTGAGATTTGAACAGTCTATGGCCGACTGAAATCTCCTACCATTTTCTATTTTGACTGGAATAGGGAATGGTTAACCATTTGCCATCCTGCCGCTGTATATAAACAGCTGGACGGTGGTAGTGCAGGGGCGTGGGTTGCCGTTCACAAATCCATTTTGGATTGTGCGCGCTCCCTGGGAGCGTGCGGCACCGCGATCCGGTGCCCGCTGTACGGGACCTTTGTGTGAGGTCCCGATCATGTGATCACTGACCGGCCAGTTAGTGATCACATGAGCAGTAGTAAGCAAGATGTCACTTCTGAAAAAAAATTATAATTTTTGGTTTATAAACTAATTTGGGTTATTTTTTTTTTTTTATTACTAAAAAGATAACTGAATAAATTGTGGCCAAGATTTATGATGACATATTATTTATTTGTAAAATGTTATAAGAAAAACACTTTTTTTTTCCAAAATTTTTTGACTTTTTCATTTACATAGCAAACAAAAAAAAATCCCAGCGGTGAATAAATACCACCAAAATAAAGCTTTATCTGTCTCAAAAAAATGCTAAAAAAAATTCATACGGGTAGAGTGTTGCATGACCGCGCAATTGTCATTCAAAGTGCGACAGCGCTGAAAGCTGAAAATTGGCCTGGGCAGGAAGGGGGTGAAAGCGTCCGGACTGGAAGGGGGTGAAGGGGGGTGAAAGCGTCCGGACTGGAAGGGGGTGAAAAGCGTCCGGACTGGAAGGGGGTGAAAGCGTCCGGACTGGAAGAAGGGGTGAAAGCGTCCGGACTCCGGACTGGAAGGGGGGGGGAAAGCGTCCGGACTGGAAGGGGGGGGGAAAGCGTCCGGACTGGAAGGGGGGGGAAAGCGTCCGGACTGGAAGGGGGGGAAAGCGTCCGGACTGGAGGGGGGGGGGGGAAAGCGTCCGGACTGGAAGGGGGTGAAAGCGTCCGGACTGGAAGAGAGGGAAATTGTCCGGACTGGAAGGGGGTGAAAGCGTCCGGACTGGAAAGGGGTTAAACATCTGTTAGGGGTTTTTTTAAAATCTGTATTCCATTGGTGAGATTTCCCTGCCCTAAGTAAGGGAAATTCTCTTACAAAGTTATCACTGGAACAGGCGTTCCCATTGGATGATATCCTCTCTACTGTGTGCTGGTGACACCTGTCGAATTTTGCATTTAACCTCTTCTTGTCCGGACACTTTCACCCCCTTTCCTGTCCAGGGCAATTTTCAGCTTTCAGCGCTATCACACTTTGAATGACAATTGCGCGGTCATGCAATACTGTACTGACATTAATTTTTTACCATTTTTTTGAGACAGATAAAGCTTTATTTGGTGGTATTTATTCACCGCTGGGATTTTTATTTTTTTTGCTATGTAAATGAAAATGTCCAAAAATTTTGAAAAGTGTTTTTCTTATAAAATTTTGCAAATAAATAATCTTTGATCATAAATCTTGACCAAAATGTATTCCGTTATATTTGTAGTAAAAAAAAAAATAAGCCAAATTGGTTTATAACCAAAAATTATAATTTTTAAACATTGTTTTTACATTTTTATTTTATTTTTTATATTTGTTTTTTTTTTTCACATACTGTCACCCTAGCAGTACAGTGTCACCATGGCCCCCCCCCCCCCCCCCCCCCCCACCCCCCCCCCCCCCCCCCCCCCCCCCCCCCCCCCCCCCCCCCCCCCCCCCCCCCCCTGACACTGTACTACTTGTGGGGGGTGATGAAGATTTTTTATTTTTTTTATTTTTTTTACAGTGATTGCTTTTACACCCATATAGGATGTAAACGCAATCATTTCTCTTTCTCTCTGTCTGTATTCTTGCAGCCATTGAGAAATACTGAGTGAGCTGTGATTGGTCACACCTTGTCACATGGTACAAGGCTGTTGTGAATAGCCTTGTACCATGTGACCTCTGTGATTATTCAGAGATTTCACACGTAGTAAGCAATGATGTCACAAGTGACATCTTGCTTACTACTTTGCATGTGATCACTGATTGGCCAATCAGTGATCACATGATCGGGACTTCGTACAGAGGTCCCATCCAACGATCGGTGTTTTCACTGTGTCCGGAGGGCCTAGTGGGCACCGGATCGCGGTGCTGCGTGCTCCCAGGGAGCGCGCACAGCTGGAAAAGGCGGGTGCCATTTATGAACGGCAACCCGCCCCCTGGAGTGCCACCGCCCTGTCGTTTATAAACAGCAGGCGGACGGCAAGAGGTTAAAGACACAAGTTCTGATCCCTCATCCATCTACCCAGAACTAAAATAGAAAGTTTTAGATGTAGATACAGTTGAATAATGATCCCATGGATGCTTTTCCACCACATCGTGTGCTGATTGGTGGCTGAAAATTGTCTCCATTTTTTAGTAATAGCAGTTTGATAGATGAGGCCCAATATGTGTCTCTGTTCTCTAAGAAAAATTAGGTAGTCATTAGGAACATGGGGGCCATTCGAAGCCCCGCCCTATATATTACTTACTGCTCATCAGTTTAATGTTTGTGTATATAGAAGCAGGATGATCTTGTGGGACTGATGTGGTTATCGTTGTATCTCTAATTGTGTGATTTGTATCTGAATCTCTCTCTGTGATGTTTACAATGTCCTTCCTGTTTTATTGCCAGATTGCTAAACTTACCCTTTGCGCTGACCAACCTCAATCTGAAAGCTCTCTGGTTGGCTGAGAACCAGTCTCAGCCAATGCTGAAATTTCAGACCGAAGATGATGAGAAAACTGGATCCAAAGTGCTCACCTGCTACCTTCTGCCTCAGCAGCCGTCTCCAAGCATTGGTACTGCAAAGCGCTCTTCCTGCTTTTTTTTATTTATTTTTATTTATTTAATTCAGGTACTTGTATATCGCTGCCAATTTACGCAGCGCTTTACATATATATAGTACATTCACATCCGTCCCTAACCCTCAAGGGTGTACAATCTAAGGTCCCTAACCCTCAAGGGGTGTACAATCTAAGGTCCCTAACTCACATTCATACATACACATACTAGGGACAATTTAGACAGGAGCCAATTAACCTACCTGCATGTCTTCGGAGTGTGGGAGGAAACCGGAGTACCCCGGAGGGACCCCACGCAGGCACAGGGAGCACATGCAAACTCCAGGCAGGTGGTGCCGTGGTTGGGATTCGAACCAACGACCCGAGTACTGACCAGGCAGAAGTGCTAACCACTAAGCCACTGTGCCGCTTTTCCTGGCTTCTATCATTTTTTAGTATTTGTTTATCTATCTATTGGTCTTTCTCAACCAGAGTTCCTACAACATTTTCAGGGGTTCCTTAAAATGATTATAAAGTTTATTTTTTTTAAATCACAAACATGTCACATACATACCTATTTGAATAATCAAAAATATTGTAGATTACCTCTCCCTAACTAGGGAGCCCAAAAATGGTTGCTGTTGTAATCACCGACAACACCTTATTGTAACATGGTGGGGTCCTCAAAAACCAAAGCAAAGCGAAAAAGATATTGGGGGGGGATCTGTGATGAAGCAGCAGGGGCTGGATCAAGCCGAGCTGTGTCTATGGAGCCAGGAGCACTGGGGGGGGGGGACACCAGAAGAAAAGAATCGGGCTACTCTGTGCAGTATTATTGCACAGATTAGGTATGTATATGAAAAAGATATTGGGGGATCCAGGAGATCCACCCCCCCCCCCCCCCCCCTCTCCATCATGACCAACATCGTCACCATCAGTCCCACCCCGCAAGCCAAATTCCTAGGTGTCACTCTAGACTCATACCTGTCCTTCCAACCCCATGTCCAATCGTTGGCAAACTCATGCAGGCTCCGCCTCCACAACATCTCCAAAATACATTCGTTCCTAACCCCAGACACTACTAAACTACTCGTTCACTCCCTTATTATCTCACGCCTGGACTACTGCAACTCCCCCTCCTCACTGGCCTACCTCATCACAGACTATCCCCTCTTCAGTCTATCCTGAACTCAGCGGCCAGACTCATCCACCTTACCAACCGCTCCACATCTGCCACCCCCCTCTGTCATTCCCTCCACTGGCCTCGACCCCCCTCTGTCATTCCCTCCACTGGCCTCGACCCCCCCTGTCATTCCCTCCACTGGCTCCCCCCCCCTCTGTCATTCCCTCCACTGGCTCCACCCCCCTCTGTCATTCCCTCCACTGGCTCCACCCCCCTCTGTCATTCCCTCCACTGGCTCCCCCCCCTCTGTCATTCCCTCCACTGGCCTCCACC